CAGACCCCAGGGCAGAGCTGTGCTTCCCAGACCAGACCCCAGGGCAGGGTCACGATCCCCTGTCCAGACCCCAGGGCAGGGCCATGCCCCCCAGTCAAGGGGCAAAGACCCAGCCAGTAGGGCCCTGAAGCTCATCCAGCCCAGGTTCTGATGCCGGGCCGGGGGTCATCACCATGCAGGGCCTGGGGACAGGGCATGTGGGTGGGGGGGTGGGCTTAGCCCTTGGTGCCAGGCTTGGGGACCCAGAGCTGGCCCGGCAGCTGCTGCCCTGGGGTGCCCAGCCCTGGGAGGTCCTGGGCCAGCACAGGATGAGGAGCTGGCTGGAACTTCCCTGAAGGGAGGAGACCGAGGCCCCAAGACCCAGAAAGCGGGAGTCTGGGGGCGGGAGAGCCAGTGGGACTCAGAGGAGGGGTCCGGCCACACCCCTTCCAGGACTTCAAAGCTGCTGGCCTGGGCGTGTGAGATCTGCAGGGGGCTGAGCCAAGGGGGGCCTGGTGGGGTGAGGCCCCACGACCTCCGGGCCTTTAATATGGTTATCCCTCTCCTGTCTCAACTACCTGCGAACAGGCCCACCAGGCCCATTTCCTCCCCCTCCAGGGCAGCGGGAGGGGCTGTAAACTCCCTGGAGAGGCGGAGGGGCCAGGCCAGGCTGCCCTGCTCTGCCTTCTGAGTGGGGGGCTGGGACGGGCTGCAGAGGGGGCTCTGGAGGGCATATCCTGTGGCCGCAAAAGCCGGGAGGAGAGAGGCCCTGGGGAGACCCCACTCCTGCACTGGGGGGGAGACTGAGACCAGCTATAGCTGAGTTGAGGGTTTTGGCCCCTCATTCACTCAGGCTCTTTCCAGCCCCCCTGGCCCATATGCCAGGCCTGCCCGTGGCCCCATCCTGGCCCCGTTCCGGCGGGGTTCTGCCTCTGCCGGTCCTGTAGCCATGGAGAGCTGAGACCATGGCCACAGGGGTCTTGCTCCCAAGCGCCCAGGGGCCCTCATGCCCAGCACCCAGAGGCCAGAGCCTGACATGCTGTGTGTCCTCAGGCCAGCACCTGGCCCTCTCTGGGCCCCTGGGGGACAGAGCCTGGATGCTGGGGGTTTGCAGCCCTGTGACACAGAGGTATGGGGGCCAGGCGTGCTGAACCCACCTCTGGCGGACCCCCCAGGGTGACCCATCTGCTCCCCTGCATCCTCTCTCATGACCTCCCACCCCACCCACCTCTCCAACCCTTTCATCTGTGGAGCCCCCAGCACCTGGTTCTCAGCAGGTGCCAATTAGGGTGGCTCCTGCCTGGGCCCTGACTCAGACTTGCTATAGGCTGTGCTGTGTGCTGTGGACCGAGCCCAGTGGTGGCTGGAGTAGGGCGCCTGTCACCCCTACCTCCAGGGCCTGAGCCTGTGCAGCGTGTCTGGTCCAGCTTTGCAGCCCAGGATGGCCTGAGGGCTGCGTTCCGAGCTCCCCAACCAGACTCACCCCCTGGAGGAAATTGGCTGCCCACGCTCCTGCCTCGGCCTTGGCTCTGTGCACTTAATCACAGGCTCCTTCTTTATAGAGCATCTGCCCACAGCCCACCTGGTTTAGCTGACCCCCGGGGGGCCCCAGCCGGGAATCCCCAGGGGTCAGCTACAGCACCAGAGCAGGGGGTGACCCAGCCTGGAATGGGCCTGGTGGGAGAGCAACCAGCAAGAGGCCATGGCCTTGTGGGGGGGGATGTGGGAGAGTCAGCCATGACTTGGGGTGTGCTGGGAGGGGTACCCTTCCTGCCCTGGGTCTGCGCCCCCTTGTCTGGGACCCCCGTCCTGCCCTGGGTCTGCGCCCCCTTGTCCGGGAGCCCCGTCCTGCCCTGGGTCTGCGCCCCCTTGTCCGGGACCCCC